CCCGGGATGTTTTCTCAAGCAGTAGTTCAGTATCATGAGGTTCATTTGAAGCATTTGAGTCTGATTTGAGTTTCCTGCATAACTGTTGTGATTTTTCTCATTGGTTCGTTGGCTCCTTTTTTCCAGACTGCATATAAACAAAACAGACCCCTTGCAGAACCCTGCAGTTTCTTGACTGTTAATCATTTACATTCCTTCATGGATTAGTGTTTCTTTTCCCTACCACACCTTAATTTCCATAAGACCATTTGATAATTTTGTCCAAAGCGTTTTTTTAAAATGCCAGTCTACTGTACTAATAGCCTTGTTTACATCTTCTTGGTTGTCTCCAGTAATTCTGGTAGACTGTGTGATACTACTTGCCTCCTCAAAAATCACGTGAATTCTTTCTCTCAAGTGTTAATTTTAAGTATTGTCTCAATCAAAGATACAGGAAGCTGTACTACAGATGGTTAGCCTAGGCTCCTCTTCGGACTGGAAAAGGAACAACTGAGATATATGTTGGATGTCTTGAGCAGTGAACTGAAAGTCTGTAGGAGACAAGTGTTTGCTGTCCTTTTGAGGAGAAGAACTAGAGTTTGCAAAATGAAATTAATAGCAAACTGATTTGTGCCCAAATAGTGGAGAGGGTGCTTCAGCTATATGTAGGTGATCTAGGAAATTTTTTGTGTTAGAATGCATTAAGTTTACATGGGTTGTTAGAGCAGTTTCTGTAAATAGCTGTTTAAGCAGAGAGCAGCTGTGGCTCAGGAAGTCCTTGAGTTGGTAACGTTGGAAACTGGGAGAGCATTGCTGTGTGAGGCACCCGATTCTGGTTACTGGAGGTAGTTTTTATTTTGCAAAAGGTTCCTTGCTCTGGGTTTGTCAGTTTGATCTGCCTGATACAATTCCACGGGAATGTGAAAGAGAAGTAGAGTTCTTGAAGTCATACAGAAGGAGCGGTGCTCTCCTGATTAAATAGTGCCCTCATTTTACATGACAAATGGTCTAAAGGAACATGAATACAGTATTTTTGGACCACTGTGTAAATAGTACACATCTTGTATGCAAGTTTTGAAGAGTATCATTTTAATGAAAGTTCACTTTGCAATAAAAAAAAACAAAAACCAAAACCATGCCCCAAAATCCAAAAACCCAACATCCCATTAGGAATATTTTGGGTGTGAAAACAGTCCATTTTGTAACTCCCCATCCATTGTACAGGTAGTGATCAACAGTTCTGGGGTAGAGTGCCAGTCTTAATTCCCTACTCATTTCTTGTCACCCATGAATATGCCCACTTTCTCTTGCAAGAAGTCAACTGATTTGGCTGTAAATATCAGTTTTATCTAGATACCACATGAACTCCTATCCCAGGATATTCAGTTCATCTTTAGTGGAATAGAAACTATTTCAGTGCTTGGTTGTATTCTGTCAAACAAGACGCCTTTCAGCATGGTCATTGTTGTCTTGGGATTCTGACAAAGACCGAAAGGAGAAGATTATGTGTAATTCAAAGCAAGGTTTATCCTTCTTTAATTCAAGAAAAGTGTTTCCCTGCCATTGGAAGAACTGTCATCCCCGCATATTGTCACGTTTCCAAAGGGTAAGTACTGTTGTGTATTGAAGTGCAGATTAGATAGATGATTCTATTCTGGTCTGGCTGTTATTCAGCTCCTACCTGTACGCTAGTTCTGCTCAGCAGTACAGTTTCTACAGCTCTGCTCTTCTCACCTTCCTGAGGAGGGAATGTGGAGAGGAAGGTGGTGATCTCTTCTCCCTGGTATCCAGCAATAGGACGTGTGGAAATGGTTCAAAGCTGCGCCAGGGGAGGCTTAGACTGGACGTTAGGAAGGATTTCTTTACCAAGAGGGTGGTCAGACACTGTAACAGGCTTCCTAGAGATGATCAATGCCCCAAGCCTGTCAGTGTTTAAGAGTCGTTTGGACAATGCCCTTAATGACATACTTCAGCTTTTGGTCAGCCCTGAAGTGGTCAGGCAGTTGGACTAGATGGTCGTTGTAGGTCCCTTCCTACTGAAATACTCTATTCTACCTGTTTCCCAGTCAGAACTTGACTTTACTGTATGTATTTTCTACATCACTCCTGAAATACGCTTTAAAATTAGCATCATCAATTGATACCTTTATTTCTCTGACAGTGATGATAGTTTAAGCAATAGAGTGCTAAACTGTTAAGTGTAGAAAACTGTTATTTGATATCTTTTAGAATGCTTGCCTAAATGCCATCTGGGTTTTGCAGTTTGTTACTTCCTTTTATCAATTCTCATGAACTTTGTCTTTCTGACACTTGTTTGGGTTCCTTGGACTCATTCTTAGTAAAGAAAAGCTCTAGTGTGGCATATCCTCTCACCTCTTGTCTGATCCAGAGAATTCATTTAATAATACTGTTATGATCATGTTCTCCTTGCCAGTCAGCATCACTAATTCTCTGGAAGGCTTCTCTTCTCCCAAGTAAGCCTTTGGCAATTCAGTAGGCAGTCTAAGCATACTTTGTCTCAGTTAAGCTTACTGAAACAGTGATCATTAACAATTAGTCTGTTGCAGGTCTTATTTTAAGGTTGCTTGCAGAATGTTGACCTAAAGAGAGCAGAAGATGTTCAGGCAGTGGGGACTGTGATATACAATCTGGAAGGTACAGAACAGCTTCTTGTTTCTCTTTCAAACACAAGCACTTGTGCTGGAGCCACATTCTGATGTGAGATCATTTGTCTTGGAGAAATAGTACGCCTGGCTTTCTGTATATGTTCTGTGGAGAGGAGAGTCTGTTGACCTCAAGTAATCCTCCATCCTTCAGAACAGTGTAGGAAAATTATTTTAGTGAATATTTTAGCATATTAGTGGGAGAGGATTTTTTTCCCCTCTTATTTCCAATTAAAAAAAACACAAAACACCTACTCTCCTCTAATGGCACAGAACCAACTTTCTAACAAACTTTCTTCTAGTAGATTTTTGCAAGAGATTTCCTTTCAATGTTTCACTTCCTTGATCTGTGAGGTGAGGGGTCTGATAGGGCAGAGCATATGGCTTTTTATGATGGGGTTACAGCATTGGTGGATAAGAGAAGAGCAAATGATGCTATTTACCTGGACTTGTGCAAAGCATTTGGCACTGTCCCTTGCTACATCCTTGTCTCTAAATTGGAGAGACATGGATTTGATGGATGGACCACTCGGTGGATAAGGAATCGGCTGGGTGGTTGCGCTCATAGTTGCGGTCAATGGCGCGATGTCCAAGTGGAGACCGGTGACGAGTTGCTCGTCTTGCCATCACACCGCCATAATGCCATTTCTAGGAAGCAGTCACCATTTTAGCAGATTGCCCTGGAGCTTTGCATCCCTGCTTTTGCTGCTGCTGTTTGTTCATCTGAAAGAATAAGAATCAATATAAACCATATCCATCTTGTTAGGATGGTACTATCCACAGTCTTGGGGAAGGGCTTGGTAAGAAAACTTAAAGTCCCAACTGGCATATTCAAGAAGGGCCAGAGAGATCTGGGCAGACTGGTATAATAGGTTTGGAGCAAGAATGGAAAATGCTTGTGCAGTACTTGAGAAAGAAATTAAATAGGAATAACAGAGGACTGTGTTCTTGTATTACAAAGTTATCTAGGAGAGCATGTGTATAGTAACCAGCTGACCTGGTGACACAGAAGAAACCTCAGATTGTAAGGCACATCCCAGAAACATGAACATCTATATTTAACCCTCTCAAACAACTTCAATTACAAGTCACCTTTCTTTCTTCTCCGACCATGCTGAGAATGTCACTACCCATTGTCGCTGTTCTCTTGGCTTGTCCTGTGCAGCGAGCAGAGCAATAAATGGGAATGTGATCTCCTCTGTGGTTGTTCTTCAGAAGGGCAGCAATGTAGCTGAGAACTGGGTCACTGCTATTGCCTAGAAAGTTAGTCCAGCCATAGAGACAAGGAGCAGTGCTATTGTCAGTGAAGAAGTCCTAGAAATACAGATTTTTAGAGATCTGAGCAGAAAAAGATCATTTGCTGTCAACAGCCAAAGATCCTGTGTAGTGAAGGGCAGTGTATTGATACCACAGTGGTGTCCTGGTTTTGAGCACTGTAAATACCAAATAAGTTTGATTATAGGGTGAGCGTGGAGGAACACTGGCTATTGGCCAACATTTTTATGATAGTATAGGTGTATGTGGAGCCCCTTTCAGGTTTTTTGCCATTACCAGTCCTAGAGGGGGAAGGATGGTAGAACTTTCAGTTTCTCTCAGCAGCTGAGGGCAGAGGTCTACTGTTTTGAAGGTAACATGAGAAAACAGAGCCCTTGAGCAGGCCGTTAAGCAAACAGTCCTCGGCTACCCCGTTCTCTAGTTGTTAGGTTCTTCCTGGCCTCATATCATGTTCTCTTAGGAGCTGATCTGTTTATTTTGTAAATTAGCTTTTTTTCACCTGAAGAAGTAAAGCTTGAAATGCCTCATGTCCTGTTAGCTTAACTCTTATTAAAAAGTCGTGGTTTATGTGTTGTCAGAAGGAATCTACAGGGAGGAAAAGAGAACTACGGGATTTTCATATTTTCTCCAAAATAATTCTGCTTACATTTGTATCTGTTTGGTCTATAACTCTAATAGAGTATTAGCTCTAACACTAATAAACTTTTTATTAAATACTTTGACACTATATTTTTCTTTCTTTATTTTCCAGGGCAGGGAAACCACCACCTGGCTTACATCTGGATGTAGTCAAAGGAGACAAACTCATTGAGGTATGAAAACAGGTTTTGTACGTATTTAGTGTGTTGTGTACATAGGCACCAGCAGTAGAACATTTCCCAGCGTTTTCCACACTCACTTACAAGTTCTTATAATTTCTGTCTCATATTCATTATTTTCAAATCAGTTTGTTTTACTCTGAAACTTGAGAATGAAGTGAATTTTCCCTTGCCTAGGCTCTAAAGCTGACTCATACTGTGCAGCACTTCCATCGGGTATCTTCCCAATGAGATGCACTGTGTGAAGGGGTATAAAACTGCAGTGCTTAGCTAGCAAACAGTGACACGTTGATTCCTGAACATTAAACCTGTCCTAGTAAGAGAGAGAAAAAATAAAATGTTTGTGAGGGAAACTTGATACTTTGCAGAGCCTTATTTTTCCAAACTTAATTTTGGACCAAAGTTGGTATTTTGTTCCCTACAAGATACTTATATAGGAGGTATCAGACTGCAGTCAGAAGGCACCTTGTATTAGGAACTTCAGGAGCAGAAACTCAAATAACATGGGGAAAGAAGTCTCAAATACAAAACAGTAAGAGTAAAAACTCCTCACTTTGTGCTGCTTGTTTGAGATACTTGTCTGCTCAGTTTATTTTTTTTTTTTATTTTGTTTTACAGTAAGGTTAACTAGGCATCCTGTATTTTACAGGATTATTGCCCTGTCCTACAGTATGAAATACAGTATGATTTTTCATCCCATGTTCTGGATCTGCAGTGTTGTGATTAGCACAGGTACAATAAGTTATTTTTATTACAGCAAAGGAATTTGTCTGATATATACCACTTCATTCTCTATTTCATATTTTGTCTTATATCACACTAAAAGTAGTAAATAAAAAAAAGGCTCTTTAACATCATCGACAGAGAGGACCCAAGCCAGTGAATGTATTTTAGCTGTGGAAAGACTCCTAATTGGCAATTAACTGAAACAGAGAAATGTTTCTGGGCAGCAAAAGTTTGCAAAGTTGAACCAGCTTTTCTGAACAGAAACTTGAAAAATTAAGAACTCAGTCTTAGGTCGAGAAAGATTTAGGTAGCTTAAAATCTTGGCTGTTTTTTAATGTATGCTACCACAGGAGCCTCAGACAGTATTAACTGTTCCTTCTGGTGTCTAGGAGGAGAGATTTACGGTTTAGAATTTGGTTAAGTTACTAGAATATGCTTTGCATAGGAAAGCAGATAGAGATGTTGCAAATAGGTATGTCGCAAATCAACTTGTGTTTTCCCAGGCCACAAACTGTTGGGTTTACAGACTGTAGTGAGAGAGTGCTCTTACTCTGGGTTTAAAGACACAGAAAATTAGTAAAGCCAGTCTTGACCTAAAAGAGATCTTTGCTCAGCCTTGATTTGAAAGGAATTAGGTACTAACCCACATTGTCTGCATCTTCAAAGTAGCTCATTAGTTCATACAAGACATGGCTGAGTTGCTTCATACCCGCTACTCGGACTACATTGGAGCTGTCCTTCACTGGCTCATCCTAGGCACTATAGCTTTCAAACCCTTTGCATTGCATTTGTTGTCAAACCGTGAACCGTGTATTCTGCTTCTCATGGTACTGTTACATGTTCAGAATCATTTTCAGAGATGAGAGAGCTGTAGCAGGACTGCTTCTCAGCTCAGCCTTCTCACTGCCATCCTAGCAGCAGCATCTGGGGTAAGGATTGTGCTTGGCACTGGGTTTTCCAGTATTTCTCAGGCCATGTAATGAGATTCGGTGACCAAAGCCAAATGACAGTGACTTTGGGTTTTTTGATATGTGGCAAGTGGCCAAACATAATGCAGTGTTCCCACCTGGGAGACTTATTCTATGAGATAAATTTTTTCTTGTCATATTTCTTTGGGATTTTTGAGTGTGGAGAGAGAACTTTAGGATGAAAGAGTCAGGAGCTCTCTGCTGAATTAATCCTCGGGTGCTAGGCAAATGTCTGTCATGGGAGTCCTGGTCAGGACTGAAAAAAAAGCAGCAAAATGCCATATGGAAGGTGAGGATGCACCATTGGTTTTGGCAATGGATGAGCAAATTTGGTGTTGATAAATTGACGGTCAGGAATATCGTCCTGGTGGTGTCAGACTCTGAGGCTGTGCTGCCTAAAGCTTTTGGGCCTACAGGAGGCCCAAGTTGGCTTTGTAAGCCTGGGGTCTCGATCTGCATTGGGGAAGTGAGTGGTACAAACATCCTGATTCCCTCTTCCTACCATTAACTGTCTTGATAACCTAAAAGAGTTGTTTTTACTGCTGTGCAGAGCACTGTTAACAGCCATTGCTAGTCAGCTATCCAAGTACTCTTGAGGTTCAGTAGAGGATGTGGTCACACGGAGGTTACAGAATGACTGTAGAGTTTGTGTTTGACCTCCTGAATATCTGATGTTGGCAATCGGTGTTCCCGAGATCAGTGAGGTATAGCTTGCCTGCCATTCAGTGTATATAATATGTGTGCTGAACGCTGTGGCAGGCGGTGACTAGGCACAGGCAGCTATGTGTGTAGCAGAGAGGCCTGGCTTGCTATCGTACTTCGGTCTGCTGAAGTAAGAATCAGAAGAGCTGGCTTGGTGGGGAAGTTCTAGCAGACTGTTGTATGTAGCATGCATGCCTGCTTGTATGGTTTGTGGCCTTGCACGCTGTATATAGGTGATGACTTGAGTCCGCTTGACTGTGGTGGTTACGTGAAACAAGGTACTGTGTGTATGTATGGGAACTGTGCAACAAATTAACAGCGTTTGAATGTGATCCGTCTGTTTCCCTGTTTGGTAAATGTGGCAAATAGTTTTTCAGTTTTGTCTTTTATGGTAAACAGCAGTAACCAAGGAAGAACATTCTTACATCTTGTGAATTACTGAGCACTTGATACTAACCGAGCCATCCGTATCCCAGGTCTTCTGCAGAGGTCTGAGGTACATGTTGTGATTGCTGGGTCTGAAAAGTGCAACATTAAAACAAGCCATGAAGTGTTTAAGCTCAGTGTATAAAGAATGACGCTGGGTTATAACTCAGAGGCACAGAAAATTTTGGAAACATTATCTTGATGTAAAGGCAATAAAATTATTTTCTCTGTTGATGAATTGTTGCAATATTTCCAATTTATGTATTGCAAAATCTCTTGAAATGCTGTCAAGTCAGGATGGTATTTTTTTGTGCATAATGTGTGCAAATGAAAACTTACAGGACACTTCTTTTGATTTCGGTTGTGGACAAGAATGAGAAATTGTTTGACCAATTTTTATGGTACTTGAAATCATGAGAGAACTGCTTGTGGAGCTGAGCACTGAAATGTGGAATAATAAATCAACTTCTGAAGATCCACTTGTTTGCATCAGAGTTGTGTTTACACAGGATTTTTTTTCAAATACACAAGAATAAAAAGAGAAGTTAGTGCTCATCTTTCTTACAGAGTGGAATCATAGACTTCATTAGTACAGAGGTATTGAATTTGGGAAGATTCATGGTGCTGAACTGAATGAGTAAGGTACTGCGTAATATTGGACATAACTCTATTGCTATGAAGCCAAATCCTCAGAACACATAACTGGAATTTCTCAAAAGATGTATTGTAACAAACACTATGATATTTGCAGATCAATAGCTGGATGAAACAACTGTAATCTTAAGGGAAGATGTCAGCGAGACTAATGGAATGATAGCTGTTGATTAAGGCTTGCAGGGAAAAGTGTAACAGAAGTACGCTAGCATGAAGAATGTACAGGGAGCAGATTCATCTATTTACAGGTGGAATTAAAAAAAAAAAATAAAAATTCAACCAGAAAGGACTGAATAAACCATGTACTAGTTTAAGCTCTTTATCAGTGGCTTATACTTTCTGGTTAATTCTGCAGGGAGGGTCTTGTGAAAACCAGCATTTGTAAAGAGACAGAAAGTGATAATAAAGTAGCCAGGTGAGAGCAGAATCCAGTAGACTTTTTCAGTGTGTTGATTTTGTGGGTTTTTTGTCTGAATTATACTGAGGCTTTGAGGTATGCTATTCCCCACCAGACACAAATAGAGAAGACACCTGCATGTTTTAAATGTCCCAGTTGGAGGAAAATCACTTGAATTTTGCATTTGTACCTCATTTGTCACCAGATAATGTACTTGAAGGTGAATTGCTAATTAAGCTGTGATTCCTGTCTTAGCAAATGAGGCGTAGACTCACAAAGAAGATTTTTTTTTTTTTTTTTCGGTAGTTTAAGTATTGACATTCTTGTGGATTTTCTGCCAGCTTATGTATCACTGAGGTTACTGAGGAAGTTGTGGTTCTATCTAGCTGTTTATTTTCACAGAACTTCTTGAAATTTAGTATCTTGTAGTGCTGGTTGAAATTGGCCAGCTGATTCAGAAGTTACTTGGTTTAGTAGTGGGTGTTGGGAGCTGATAGGTACATACACAGCTTGATCACCTAGATCTTGTTATTTTAAGAAAGCAGACCAAAATATGTAAGTCAGTGTTCACAAAGCACTTACTCTCATGAAATCGTGCTTAAAATGTATACCTTGAGTTAGTTGGGAATAAGACATTAGTAGAGTATTACCTAAGGGACCAAGTAATTGTAAAGTCGTCATGTTGTATACTAGTATGGAGTTGAGTTGTTCAATTAATTCTTCCAGTGACCTAAAAGAGAGAATAAACATACAGAAATAAATTTAATACTTATTACTGAACATCCTATTATGAAAACTTGCAGCATGGAGGCTAACAAATGTTCAGCAGAACAATGAGAAATCTAACTTGGAAAATGTAGAACACATCTGGGGGGAAAAATCTGAAAAAAATCACTGGGGATGTGTCATGTGAATGCAGCAGTGCTCAGAGCCTTGAAGTTCATAATTGGTGGGCAGGTAAATAGATTTAACTTTGCAAGGTGATTTGTAGTAGAAAATGAGGTCCATGGGATTTTTATCCTTGCAGAGGAATATAGATTCTATGTCTTATCCCAGGCTATCCGCCTTACTTTCTGTATGACTTTGTGCCACAGAATAAGTCACTGTCTAGGTGCTCATTGTGTCAGTCTTTCTGATAGCTCAAAAGAACCCCAAACCAACTACGTATAACTAGTCTGATACATTGGCTCTTTCCAGCAGAGCATGTGGTTTATACAGCTGGCAAAACTGAGGAGCAGACAACTGATTGACATGAATGTTGCTGCCAGAAAGGGAGGTCCTTCCTCACCTTCCTCATCACAGAGTCCTAGTGCATATAATCCATTGCTTCACTAAGAGGCATCTGGGGATAAGCATCTGACTGAAGGCAAACTGATTCAGTCTACTAAAACAGTAGAAGACTAGTGCGGCAAAAAACTGCTTTGCAAGCTGAAAACTTTGTGCAGATGTGTGGCAGTGCAATTGAGAGGGTTGTATAGCTGGGAATGGAAGGAGGGAGAGGGGAGAAATCCTCGTGCTCTAGCAGGCAACATGTTTATTCAGCTCAGACCATCTCAGGAGAAAGCCTCGTGCTCTAGCAGGCAACATGTTAATTCAGCTCAGACCCTCTCATGAAAGCAATGCTTTCCTGAACTAAGATCTGGGTTTTTTTCTGATGGAAAATGTGTCATCAGCATTCCTTTGATCATGCTATTGAAACATTGTGTGGGCTTTGGTAAATGTTTCAAAACGCAGGAGAAGCCATCTGTTAACAAATCTGTAATGCATTGCCAGACTCTGACTTTTGTGCAGCTGGAAGCAAGAAAACACAGGTTAGATCAAGATCTTGGAATACAGTGAGAAGGAAGGCTGCACTGCTTAGGGGCTTCAGCATTTAGGCACAATGAATTCCTTTCCGCAACATTGTCTGTTAATAGAAATATGCTGTATACTGTAGGACTGTCAACATATTCCTTTGCTTTCAGAGATGGTTTATGTAACTGGTATTACAGTATGTAAGATCTTGTTTGAAGAATAGGTTAGAACTAGGATGAATTAAGAAGAAATGCCTCAAATTAGTGGCTTACTTAAATAAACTGATATGGATTCATATCACAGTACGTATTCCGTGTAGCTTTACATCTTTGTTACAAAGATCTGAAGTCTCTTGTATGTCCGTTTCTATACAGAAATATAATTTTGATTTTCTTTATCAGACTGGAGATCATTTAGCATAGTTTCCTGGTTTCGACAAGGCCCAAGGTCATCTACATTGAGGAATGTGTAAAAATCATTGTGAGTAGATGTGAGAGAGAATCTTGTATGAGGCAGTCTCATGCTTTGAAGAGTTATTGTCCTTCCCAGGCTGTCTTGTAATGGCTGTTAAAGAAGGGAATAACTGGGATTCTTCCATATCCAGCTGCTCTGATTTTGTAAAGAGAAGATTTGGGTTTCTGTATTTAACAGTCAGAGAAAACTGAAGTATTGATGAGCTGTTGATGCTTTGTCTTGAATTTGCTCTGTTTATTCATGTTCTTGAACTTTTTCAGGAAGATCGTAGGAGTCTAATATGCTTCTCTGTTTGATATTCTACCTCAGAAACTTATTATTGATGAGAAGAAATACTATCTCTTTGGGAGAAATCCTGATCTGTGCGATTTTACCATTGATCACCAGTCTTGCTCTCGGGTCCATGCTGCCTTGGTCTATCACAAACATCTCAAGAGGGTTTTCCTCATAGATCTAAACAGCAGTAAGTAGTGTGACATTTAACCAGACAGAAGTACAATATTTCATTGCTTAAACATTTCTGAATCTGAGACACTTTTTCCGTTGTTGTTGTTGTTTGCACTGTTTGGATAGATGACTATAATCTGAATTAGCATCCTAGTGAAAGATTGGCAAGGGTTAGGAGCAAAGGAGTGTTTGCTCCAGTTAGCTTACATCTGCTTCACTTGGTGTTTAAAACATTTCTAGACTTTTAAGAGGCTAAGGGAGACGAGGAGAGTGACTTGGCCTTCCCTTCACAATTTTAATGAAGCTTTCTCTTCTGAGAGTGATTTCCCGAGATCTAAAACCTGACGTACCGTTTCTTCCACTGAGGGAATGATTCCAAACACGGTACATTGGGACCTGCAAGAATCCAGAAAGTAAATGGTGTCTGTCACTTACTTCCGTGACTTTTTGAGGACTTCTGATGTGTGTTATCTTAGCGTGTCAGGTGGTAGGTAAAATGTACATAACTAATGTTGTCAGCAGTACCTCGGTGGCCTGTATCACGGAGCAACCATGTACAGTTTTTGAATTACGTCAGGCTTGAACTTGAATACTGTGAGCCCAAGCTTATGACTAACAGACTATTTTGCATTTTGATGTTCAGCACATGGCACATTCTTGGGTCATATCCGTTTGGAACCTCACAAACCCCAACAGATACCCATTGACTCCACGGTTTCATTTGGCGCTTCTACACGAGCATATACTCTGCGAGAGAAGCCTCAGACACTGCCATCAGCAGTTAAAGGAGATGAGAAAATGGGCAGTGAAGATGAAGAGCTCAAGGGCTTGCTGGGCCTGCCAGAGGAGGAGACAGAACTTGATGTGAGTATGATGACACGTTGTGCCTAGATGGCATTTCCAGCTAAACAGATAGCGTTCCCCACTTGTTTGCATAGGTTCAGCTTCTTAATTTCTTGGCCTTGAAGATAGTCTGAGGTGTCTTCTGCTGGCAGATATGAACAAACCATCTCATTCTGCCATGATAAGCCTGTGATCATGCTGCTTCCCAGAGTCAGTGACCTAATAATCCTACGGTTCCAATGGTCTTCTCTCAAAGGCTTGCCAGGGAGTATGCACTCTCCAACTAACATTACCCCAGGTCAGGGGTGATTTCCCACACTGTTCCCCATTGCCAGATAACAGTGAATGCTGCCTTGTTTCCTGCAGTTAGCTAGCGAAGAGGGAGAAAGCAGTGTATGTGGCATTCACAGGATTGTTGAGGTTGGAAGGGGCCTCTCCGGATTATCTGGTCCAGTCCCCTGGCTCAAGCAGGGTCAGCTAGAGTGGATTGCCCAGGATCATGCTTGGTCAAGTCCTGAATATCTCTGCAGACAGACTCCACCACCTCTCTGGCCAAGCTGTTGCAGCTCTGGAGCACTCTTTCTTCCTAGAGGTCTAAAGTTGAAACTAAACAATGTGCTGTGGTCTTTTGATATCCACAATCACATGATTAAATCAGACTTCATACACTCGTTGCTTAAACTATTTCATCTGCAAATTTGTCATTAGAACCTGACAGAGTTTAATACAGCCCATAACAAAAGAATTTCCACACTAACCATTGAGGAAGGGAACTTGGATATTCAGAGACCAAAGAGAAAACGGAAGAACTCCAGAGTGACATTCAGTGATGATGATGAAATCATCAATCCAGGTAAGTAGTTTGCTTTAATCTTTGGTTGATGCCCTTAAGGCCCTCTTTCCAGTATTCTCATAGAGATTGCTCATGGCTGCATATGGATAAGGAGAACCGAAATTTGGCAGTCAATATTTGGGATCTGCTATTTCAGAGAAACTGCCACATGTCTTACTTAGGTCTTTGACCTCTCTGTTTCTTCTCTTCTACCTGTAAAATAACTGCATGATTTGTGCAGGACAGAGATACCACACTCAGCTTCATTGTTCAAAATTCTGTCAGATGTTGGAAAAATCTTATGGGTCCAAAAGGAGGAAAGTGTTTTAAATTTTTTGCCTTCTTTAGAATCTAAATGAGAACTGAACTTGTTTGGTTTTCATCTGTCCCTTAATGCTTTCCTTACCTGTTGCCTAATGGATATCTGTCTCCAGCTCAGAGGTTTTTTTGCTACTTGTCTGCATATCTGAAACAAGTCATACTCATTCAAAATGAAGCTTCTGAAGATATGTCCAATTCCTAATTAGTCATTTTTCTCCCTTAGCTGTTTTATATTCCTATTAACACTATTTTGTATGGATAATGTTCCTATTAATAAGAGCATGCATTTTAAAATACAGTTTGGAGCTAGTTTCATTTGGCATTGTATACCACCCAGAATAACCATTTTGATTTGTAAGGTTATGGAATTTAGTGCTCAGAACATCCTAATGTAAACAGCAGTCATTTGCATTACAAAAAAAGATAATTTTTTCAGACTTCAGAGACTACACTGAATTCTTCTCACTCCTACTTCAAGGTCCCCCAAGGACTTCTGGGGTTAGCTGTTGTGCTTTTCAGTATGTGCAGTGACTTCTTAGCTGCAACTTTCATCCCAGAACTCCAGTCTGTCTGATCAGTGCAAACTGCCCATCCATCTGTTCCCCTTCCCTGTTCTCCATTTGAGTGGAAGCCTTTCTTACCAGAATATCTGAGGATCCCACCTTGGGACAAAGCCACTAGGTGTCCTCTTAGCTCCTGTCTTTATTTGGGCATGCATCTGCTTACCGAGAGCTACTAGAGCACTGACTTTGAGAAGAGGTGGTCCATGTACCAGTTCTTCATATAGGTTCCTTTACCTGACAGATGTTCTGTCTTTTCCTGTATTCTTACTGAAGGCTTCACTGTTCTTGGCTTTTACAGAGGATGTGGACCCTTCTGTTGGGCGTTTCAGGAATATGGTACAGACAGCAGTAGTCCCTGTTAAGGTACAGCGTAACTCCCAACTTTCTAATTAATGCGTTACATTGATGAATACTTTATGAATTACACCTTAAAAATGTAATGTTCTGTGGTGGAAAGTGTTTTATTGTTAAGCAAAAGTCATGTTCGTGTTTCACAATTGTCTTATTTTAGCAAATTTGACCATTTCCCTTCAAATCCAGCTTTAGCTGTTTTCTTTAATAACACATGGGATCAATGAAAAATTTTTATCCTCCCAAAAACAAACACTGCCAAAATTTGGTATGGTAGTTCTAGGCATCAATTAAAATTGTGGGAAGCGTGGAAAATAGAAAGTTAAAATGAGAGGCTGTTTGTTTAAATACTGTAAGTGCTAAAGATTTCATAAGGTTGTCTACTAGAACTAGCAGGGTTTAGACTTTGCTCCAAGATGAGTGTGTTGCCAGTGCTATATTTAATTTGAATATGTGAGGAGTAGGGAAGATTTGCAAAACTTCAGGGTAGCTAAGCAACAGTGTAATAGCGATTTCACTTGTTGTGGGTATACACTAAATTATGTGGAAAAGGATAATTCCACATAAACCCCAGACTACAGGAGAAGATTCAAATGATCAGATTCAAATGATCACAAAATCACCCTAGTTACCTAGAAATTGCAGTTTCTTACTGTGGGGGGGAAGGAGGATCTGTGTTACTGACCAAAGACCTACTCAGTCTTGCATTCAGAACAACCTCAAGACTGGCAAGCATGTACAGGAGGTAAAGCAGTGCTCAGACCTGATCTAAGTTAAACCTGAGCTTGAACTTCTGTCACCCCTTCCCGCACTGTGCACCTTGAAGAGTTTATTATTAAGTGGTTTTCAAGGAAACCCAGAAGAAATCTTCTGGAACAAAGACTGGGACATGGTCTGTAACCATTTTATGTGTGGCTGGTCTAAGTGCCTTTTCGGTGAAAATGGTGTTGGCATCCAGTTTAAATAGCTTGCTTGTTTCATGTATTTTGAATAATTTTTTTAAATACTTCCATCTACAGAAAAAACGGTTGGAGAATCCAGGCTCGTTGACCACAGATGATTCTGCATCACGACGTATGCAATTTTTGGAGGATTATATGGTGGTTTACCTCCAACTCACAATGAGGCAGGTTCCCAATCGCATGGCGTCCATGGGACAGCACTCATTGGTGGTCTGCCAATGCCCTACCCCAATCTTGCCCCAGATGTGGACTTGACTCCTGTTGTGCCCTCAACAGTTAACATGAACCCAGCTCCAAACCCTGCTGTCTTTAATCCTGAAGCTGTGAATGAACCCAAGAAGAAGAAATATGCGAAGGAGGCATGGCCGGGCAAGAAGCCAACCCCTTCCCTACTGATCTGAGTTGGGTTTCGTGGAGGGAGGGTGAGAGTTACAAACTCCAGAAACTGTTTATGTGCAGTATCGTCTTTTTAAAATTTTGATGTCCTAACCAGATGTAATACCAAGATTGGAGAAGTGAAATATCCTTTAAAGATCTGTCTTCAAACGTTTTTATATTGTCTGTTTAAAAAAAAAAATACAACTCCCATCTCCTTTTGAACCAAAATATTGGGCAGCCTTTCCTTAGCCATTTCTGTCCCCAGAGGTCTTTACTCTGAATTTTGATTCATAAGTTGAAGGGGCAGAGTCATACAATTTAATTATCATTTATGGCATGACCCTGCAGATTCGTGTATTTAGGTGTTGTGCTTACTATGAGTAACGTTGTTCTTGATGGACTTGCTCATAGCAGGTCAACTGTATGAAAAGTAAATGTTTGTGGGGCCAAGCCTTTCAGAAATCCCATTGATATGAGTTCTAAAACTTGCGAAATATAGGTAAGCTTTTTTTACATTTTCAAAAAGCCACCAATGTGGGGCATCTTTTTTTAATTTTTTTTTTTAGTTTGGCTACAGCTTGTTTTAATTTCCACCTAAAACACTACAGCATCCCATTAGTTGTTGAGATGAACAAGAAATAGGTGGCCTTTCTTATCTGTGATCCACTATTGTATGACGGAGTGCTGTGTGGGTGGATAAAGGGGTGCACGTGTGGATGGATCTGAGCTTGTGTTGATGCTAATGGCAGCATACAAGCATGGCAAGCCTAGGAGTGTTTGGTGGGCAGATAGGCACTAACTACGCTGTACAAACAATAAACGACAAAGTAGTGTTGACTCTCTCCCCTGTGATAACTTAAGTTGGAGTTAACACAGAGGAGAACTGTTTCTTTTAAACTTTGTGGCCCTTTTAACTTAAATAGTTTCATTTGTATTTGCAAATGGAACTCCTGAGCTTAGAGTATATGTGAGATGCAACAAGACACACAGAAAAATGAGCAGTCATCAGCAGTGTCAGAGGACTTGCACATTGAACAACTAAAATCACAATCTGTGCGCTATTTTGGCTGCTAGTAACAGCGGGTGAGAACTGAGTGCTACTTAAAGCTAGAATATGAATTCTCAGTAGAGAATCTGCCTCGCCTTGAATAAAGCAGTGCACAAGTTGGTTTCATAAAATTGCATTTTTTGACTGCTTCATCACTTTTTCCCATTGAATAAAATGAGAAGCTTGGTTTGGATTGTTGCTCTAGCCCTTCAAATCCTCGTTTTTAGATTTCAAAATCTGATTCACATGTATTCAGACACTATGTTTTTACTTTATACAAGGTAAGGCCAGAGCTCTGTTTTTCTTAGGTTTACTCTGAATTTTTTTACATTCTGTAAGACAGTTCAGTTACGTAGTCGCATTCCTTTGCTGGTGGGGGGATTTCTCCAGTAAATGTGCACTAAAATGACAATAGTGTACCCAGCTGTTCATTGTGTACAGTACTGTAGCTATCTGGCTAAGTAGTGTTGTGAAAATATGATGGTTGCTGGAGCAGTGCTGTGTTACAGCGCATCTAGTGTGCTGTATGCACTATACCTGTTTTGGTCAGATACTCCAAAATCAGTGTGACTTCTGCATCTGCAGGGTGATTGCATCTATCATGTTGTTGAGGTAAAAATGAGCTAGTAGCTACCTCATTCACAGGAGCGATGGCTTTAGAGACTGGTTCGTTCCCCTCCCCGCACTATCATATCTAGCTCAAACTATTATATGGATGAATACAATACCTTCTCCATGATCTAGTTGTGCTGCTCTGTGTTGAGTTGCTATTGAATATGATTCAGTCCTCGGACATTCTGCTTCCAAACACTCCGTGCTGACTCTCAAAATCTTTCTCCCTTTATTTTTGGTTTTGCTTCTTTCTGGTATGTAAAATTTTCTTTTTCCAGCCAGTCTGCTTTATGAAGGCAACTCTTTAGGGTAAGACTAGTTAGGGCAAGTAAAAGTTGAACAAGTTTTCTTCTTCCTTTTTTTCTGTTTTGGGGGGATTTTTTGTTTTGGTCTTTTGCAAGTAGCTCTTTGCAAGATTTTTCTTGAAAAGGGAAGCTTTACTGCTCATTGTTTTTTAAAGCTCTTCTCCTCCCTGGGTTTGAATGAGCTCTCATTATTTTAGAGCTTAGGGGCCATAGTGGCCAGTACGGGAGGGGACAGTGTAACATCTAGGGGCTTTGTACAGAAGTTTGTACACTTGTGTAATATGTAATAGGCCTTTTCACACTTTCTGTTGAGCTTTTTACCTGTAACCTTTACTATGTTGTAAATTAAATGCAGATTTTGCCAGTTTGGAGAGTGTAGTGTGTTCGTTCCCAGTCTACACTTCTGCAGTTGAGACTGTACATTGTTTTATGGCTTATTGAAGGAATTCTACCGTGGCCAAGTGCAGCTACCACTGCAGGTCTTGTTTTCAGTGGCTGGCTTAGGCTGCGGCTCTTAAAGCTACTCTAACTTCTTTGCTCATGGCCTGCTTTGCTGCCCTGTGCTGCAGTGCATTGCAGTTTTGCACACAAGAGTGACACTTAACAGTGGATTTTAATGAGCAGTTGGCTTTGTTTTCTGAGTGAAGTTTTATCTGGTTCTGGCATAATCCTCTCTCTGCAAAAGTTATACTTTAGACCCCAACTTTGCTCTTCTCATTGCCCAGCGTGCTGCCTCTGACAGAGTGGCCTTGGGCAGTCTAAATGCACTATCCTTTGTCACACCGTGTCTGCACCTTGTCCTACGCTCACTGGGGAGAGCTGTAGTGAAAAACAATAAACTGGAAACTGGTTAAAGATAACTGTGGTGCCTGCAGTATAGGGTTGAGAGGGATTCCCAAGCTTTGCTAAATTTAGTAATATTAAGATTGTAGATTAGTATTTCTTCTCAGTCCAGCAATATCCTTTAAAGCAGCTGGGGCAATTACACTTTCATTACTGCATGTGAGCAGAAGGCTGAATTTTCACAATTGATGTGCAAGCTGCTGATCTGCCATAGGTAGAAATAGTTGGTACATGTTGAGTAGTTAACTTTGTGGTCTGACATTCTAAGTGTTGGTGTGGTTAGCAGTTCATTTCCTGTATTAAAGGAAGTGTTAAAAATGAGTCAACTTAGTGATAATCTAAAGTACGCTGTGCAATGTGGAATGCAGAGATGGGAAGGAAGAAGCAAATAAGAGTTTGCAGTCAAATAAATGATTGAGATAAAGAATACTGACAGTGTTTTCCAGGAACATCTGTCCTTGCAGCGTTCAGTGGATTGTCATTGTAACCCCTCTTCTCTCTTTTGGTTTTGAAATACAAGAGTGCAGCACCCAGCAGGCATCCCAGGAGCTAGTAATGAGCTGACAGAAGTTGTTCTGTTCCCAGTGTGCTGTGCAATAAGATACCAATATGTTAAACCCTGTGACGACACGTCTGAAAGAATGACTTCTTGGAGAGGAGGTGACTTCTCCCTGAGGCCTCTTAGGAGAACAGGAATAGATTCCAGCGCAGAACAGGTGAGTGTGCCAGCTGAAGTGTGCACTCGTGCAATTATTTGAAGCAAGTGCTTCGAAACAGTCAATGGCATGGGGAAAGACCACAGTACAGGGTTGGACTGGAAGATGTGGCTTAGGACAAGCCAAAGAACTGGGGCCGTGCAATGGCTATTACTGGGCTGAAAGGTCAGATGCTGTTTGAGAGGTTGTTTTCAAAAGCAGTGTAATACGGTCAGATAATTTGTAGGTTCTTTGATCTCAAAATTCTGTCTTAATCTAGCAGTGGTAGGTAAAGGGGGAAAAAGTTTCTCCTTCGACTTCTGTTCCACACCAGGAACAGCTCCTCATTCATACAAGCTGTGTGGTGTTACTGGGACCTACCTGCGTGGTGTAGGAGACAGGAATGCTAGTGCAAGATAGAGAGTGTGAAGTAAGATTGTGGCAAGTTCAGGACAGACATCCATGTGTTTTGGGTCACAGGTTTCTAAATTAGCCTTCCCTGAAGGTCCCATAACCAGTAAAGTAGCAAGAGGTTCCTCACATACCAGCATCACGTTAGAGCCTGAGACTAACCACAGTGCTTCCCCTGCCTCCCTCAGAGGTCCTGCCTGCTCCACAAAAGCAGTAGCTTTCCAGGAGCATCGATGGTTGCTTTAGTGTTCTCTTTTGCTTCTTAGAATTTCCCGGAATTGATGTCATCTTCAGAGAAGATGTAAGGGAGAAGCAGCTAAAGAGCCTGAATCTTTGCTGTCCACCCTCTTGTAGATAGCTGTCTGTCTTGTCATATATTCTGGCATACATCTGTGAAAGGTTTCAATCACATTTGCAGAATGGTAGAGGAGGAAGTCTTAAATACTCGAGCTAGTACTAAATACATTCTAACACATCTTGCCAGGCTCAAGTTGTTTACTGTCACCTTGCAAAGACACCCAGATGAGCAGCTGCCTGTGTGTATGCTGACCTTCGAAGAACTGGCCAGTAATACTCAACTAACCTAGCAACTCCGGTCATGGCTGGCCACAGAGGCTTTTCTGACTCTCATCTTGACTGTGATGGGTCATTTCCTGCCTGAGGTTCCCCAGCTACTTCTAGATATGTCAAAGAGGCCTTCCCTTGCTTGAGCCTGGAGGAAATGGGAGCAGCATTTCTCCTGATGAGTGAGCAATGGTGTGTTTATTCCCCTGTTACCCCAGGGCAAGTCCTTTCTGAAAGGAGACACAACCAGTTTTTTCCAGTGTCTTTGTACAAGTACTGTTTTTATAACTTGAGCTACCAGGAGCTCGTTCTTTATTAACCTCTCCCATATAGGCTTACCAGAGTGCTTAGTTACTTTGATAACAATTTCAGGGTTCAGTGAAGATGAGGAAAAGCCTGCAAATGGGCTGTTTAAGCAGTGGTTCCACTGCCTGCTTCAACCTGGATACCTCAATAATTCTTGCTTGTTGATAGGTTAGAGAAGGTTTGTGCTCCACTGCAGGGAGTGTTACAGACCTTCAAGATGAGGATGCTTCAGGCTGAGAGACCAGTTTTCCTTGGATCCTAGCAGCTGATGCGATCCCCAACTTCACTTGTCTTCTGTGCTCCTCTGTCTGGAGCCCTGCTTGGGGGATCACAGTTCCTGCTTCTGTTTGAGGAGCTCTGACCTCCTGCATGTTGTAGCTTCAGGCCCACAGCTGCAGCCAAACAGTGGCAAAATTTAGGTCTTTGACAAGCAGTGGAGGATGGCTTGGGGACTGCCTAAAATCTGTGGAAACTCCAGTTGTCTGATGCCCTGCAAGGCAATTTCTTTAGGCGGATTTTATGTTCCCCCAGTTGAGTTTGGACACCAGAAGAGCAGGTAGACAACTTTGCTCCCTGTAGCTGCGCATGATTGGTGTGATTTTTCATCCCCGTGACCTGAAGTTGGCCTGTTCAAGGCTTATTCCATGGGAGCTTTTCTCTGTCCTACGGCAGAAAGAGCATCTGCCTGTCCCTGAGTGCCTCTGCTTCTGTCTCTGCTTCACTTACCCT